AATATGATACCAAGTAGTTACCCTAGCCCCAAGTGTGATGATTTTGCGTAAATAACTCTCAAATGACACACAAATGTTGGGCGAGATGGCGCATCACACTTTGTGTTTGGGAGAAGAAAATACTCCCTCATTCCCCTTTATAGTGCGTCTTGTTTGTCAAGGCCGGGCCGGTAAAATCCAAGGCCATGTGCGAAACTAAAAAAATGAGACCCTATCTCACTAGAAAAATAAACTAACAAACAATTAAAATGTATATGATATAAATATCTTACAAGGCCCTGTGCAAAGATGAGACCCTATCTCACTAGAAAAATGAACCAACAAGTAATTAAAATGTATATGGTATAATATCTTACATAACACTTGGATACATAAAAAATTCATACCCTAGTTTCGTGTCCTGTCCGATTGAACTGCTATACTATGATCTTTAATCAAAGAGGCAAGAACCGATCTCTAACAAGGTAACGATCCCTACCAAAAGTGAATTAAAATTTAGGAATTAGGAGTAGGACTGTACGAGCCGAAGTTAATTAGGAGGACAAGCCAGAGGTAGCCGACTACCTGTTTTGGCGAGAGGAACATGTTGGTCAGACGAAGTTAATCAGAAGCGGCATGCTTGTTGCCCCGCATGTTACTGTGTCGCCAGTCGCCAGCTCTGGACGCGCCGTCTTGCCTGCCTCTGGAAGCGATCGATATCTCGTTTCGACGCGGCCACATGGTTTTTGATCGAGGCATCCACACGGTTGCCAGAAAGCCAGCGATCGTCAAATGTCCAACGCATCGAGCAGACGGCCTGGGAAGCTAGGACACTCGACTCAGCGCCCAGGAGGACATGCATGACCCAGCGCCTAGAAATATACATAGGTCTATATAAAAATTTGGGACCTCAAAATTTACGGGCCCTACGCGGGCCGCACACTCTGCACATCTATAGACCCCAACCTGTGTTTGTAGCCCCTATACCAAGACATGACAATTGCCCCTTGCCTGTGCATGCATGGCTATCGGCCCTTATGCGCACTACATTTACGCACTATAATATGGAACTAGATCATTGATGGCGCGCGTTGCTGCGCCCGTCTATCTTGAATTTATGATAAATAAACTCGAATGAGTTATTTCACGAAAGTATTTCATTTTCTTTTGAAACAAGACACCCAATACAGTAGTAAATAATATGGTATTATATCTCTTCGGGTGGGAAAAAGGATCATCATGCTGCTACTACGAGTACAACCTTCAACTCATCAGCATAGCTGGTACTGAAAATGTTCATAATCATCATCTAGCGCACAACGCTGTAAAAAGATCATCTACAAATACACAATGATAAAAGGAAAAGCTAAATACTACAGAGAAGTTGTGTAAGCTTTTCTTATCTTCTTTGTAAGGCGTTTCAGTACAGACTCCTGAGAACCATGGACTGTCGGTGAAGAACTAAAGAAAGATATTTTTTTTTCACCTTTGACAGGTGATGTGAGTATCAAAACGACAGGAAACTGGTTACACATGCATGTACTAAATAAATACGCTTATTTGTATCAAAATTTCCTACTCCGTAAATAATATCACATGGAAGAATCACTTAAGGGTTTTGGATCACTGAGGCCATTAAAGTCAAATCAGAAATAGCCAGCAAGATAGAGGGCGATAGTCATAGCACTGATTAAGATGGATTGTCATAAGATATCTTTGGTGTAACTTAGTTCATTCAGACAAATATGGGAAGGCGTCTCATGCCGTAAGAAGATGAAGCACAGATCTAGAGACAATATCTGAAACAATTGATAGCATGATAGGCAAAATGCAGTCCGATCCTAAGAAGCAATTGCACTGGGTCAGCGACATAGGATTAATGGATGACTCGAAAATCAAAAGTAGCAAGTCAAATGTTGCCGGTGTTATACTAATTGACTATTGGACTGAATGTATTTATGTCTGTTCCAAATTAACTTCAAGCTTGTTTCTTTGCATATAACAATTTCTCATTGAAGTAGATAATGCAAGAAGCATCGTAAGATTAAAAGATAGCCAGCAATGGAGTTGACCATTCAAGCAACCTGTATCATCATAGGTTTCTGAAGCTCTAGATACAACACATGTATGGGCAGTATGGCAATCTACTACAACTAAGCAACATAATTAGGAGTTCAACCATCGCAACAAAAAAAAAGATATGAACAGACGAGGGTACTGTACTACACTCACCTGATTAGCTGGACAAATTTGACATTCATTTTACAGCACCATATCTTGCAGGATGTTGGCCCCTCCTGACCAATTAACCCATGTGATGGTCTTATTAAAACCGTCTAAAAGGGAAATCAAGGTGGCAAATGCGAACACTGGAATCTGCAGCAACATTGCCATAGGCCAATATGCTTACGCTATTTGTCCAAGTAATAAATCATATGAGTCTAGATAAACAAATTTATGTTGTACTTTCAGGAACCATAGTTACATGGCAAATTTCATGTAGGAAGAGCCAAAGATCTCATAAAATACTTTGTGTTCTTGTTCTAGAGGAAAGGAAAGCAATGATAGAATGCTATGAAACAGAGACTTCCTATAGTTCCACCAAAAAAAGACTTGCTACAGTCATCTGGATAAGTATGTAGTAACCAAAGGATGGCCAATATCAAAATGCAAGTTAAATATTTGTGCACAAAGAGGGAAATCACACACACTATCAATTCTATTATTGATAGCAACGAATATTGAGCGGTATATATAGCACAAAGAGGGAGTATGTTTTAATTTTTCTAAACCAAAGAGCAATATATAATCAATCAATGATTTACTTGGGGACTACAGAAATTTCCAACTTCTTTGCGCTGTAAATGGGAGAAAGAAAATAGGCGTTAATTCATACATCTAAAAACAATGGTGGTATGACAGATCAAAAACTGCAGTTTACATAAATGCTGCAAACTTCAGTAAATATTCATTTTGACTCGATTGTTGCAGGCATATTCCAGAGTCCAGACCACAAAGTGTTGTTATGCAGCCAGAAAGAAAGCACATTGTTGGTAATGTATAAAAGGCAACGCAAAATACTGCGAAAGCAGGACCTTGGACTTTAAGGTTGGAATCGAAGGTCAAGTGAATGTCACTGGGCACTGTTGTTGTGTTAGCCGATGCATAAAGGTCCTTGCCCCATTCTAGTTCCCTCAATTCTGCCTGTCAGGTGAAATATTTTGGACTTCACTAAAGGATAGTGCACAACAAAGAGAAACCATGATTCAGTCTTCTCCATGGTGAAAATTTACCTTGCTGGCCTATCTAAAATGTAGAAACTGATGTTTATACCTGCTCGACGGCCGTCGTGAGACGACGCAAGAGGAGATCCCTCACGCCACCAAGACAGACGGGGAGTGCTCGTCACAGTTTCCTCGTGCAACCATGAGATGAGAAGGGTTTCGCCGTTGTGAAGTCAAGAGAAGTGTGAACCACGGGACAAGGAGGAGAGAAGATGATGGACGAACGCAGCAAGGAGGATGGGAGGCGACGCGGACAAACTTGGAAAGGGACCAAGAGAGGGAAGGAGGAGGCGGCGGGGTGGCTGCAGCTGTCGACGACGCATGAGGAGAGGAGTGGCGGCGGCAAACAAAACCCTAATCGCGAGATCATGGGCGTGCCAAGGTTGAAGAAGCAGAAGAGGTGAATCAGGTTGTTGCTGAACCGTCGCTGTGTCTGTACTTCGCCCTATGCTGGATTAAAGCCCATTAAGCCCAGTTTCACGGCCCTGTGGATTAGCGCTCGGTGGTTTGGTTCACAGCGAATCGGACGGTTGAAACATCCAAAAATAACGATCCAACGACTGCAAACACTGATAGCCTGGGAGGGCTGGTAAGATGCTCGGTTATAATATATCTAAATAGAGGGAGTAAGAAATTATCATCCATACATATATTAAATAATACTACAGAATTCAGCAAAATACTACGACAATATCGATTAACTATTCTCAAAATGCTTAGATATGTTTCCAAAAATATATAATAAAATCATTTAACTATTTTCAAAATATTTTACAAGGGCACTGAGCGGTAAATATACAACAACTACAGATGCGTAATTTCCAACAAACATTTGATATTCTCCTCAGTCGATCCGACGTAAAACCCGTGCAAGGTTTTATAATTTTTTTTGAACAGACCCTTGCATATTGTTGCACAAGATGAACATATTGTTACAATACGGTAAACATTTTCTTAGATCTATTCAACCAAGATTTAGCTATTTCTGGGTCCACACAATAGTACTATATACTTTCACACTAACTGAACTAATCAACACAAAAAGTGGACATTTTTACATACTTATAAACAAATTTATAAAATCAACTAAGGATTTGTTAATTCTCAGATGGAGAGAGTATTTCGGTTGCGGTATGCTGCGCGGAGCTATTTAGGGCATCTTCAACGCTAGGCGCTAAGGGTGGACGCTAGGAATAATTTCCAGTCCGATCGTCGGTTACGTCCTCGATTCCTGGCGCCCGGAGCCGCAGCGACGCAAAGAAAGGCAGCGAGCGCTTGCCTCTTTTTAGCCCACGAGATGAGGCACGAGCGCTGTTTTTCACACGTATTTAGCGCCCATGGTTAGCTCCAGCGTTGGAGCAGATAACGCTTGGGGATTTTTAAACCTTTTGCTATTTATTGTTTTCTGTTTAAGCACCTAGATAAGCGTCTACCATTATACATGCTCTTACCACTCCAGCATGACGCCAACTAACGTTCCACGAGTATTGCCGTCCGATAAGTACAATGGCCGGTGATCCAATATGTAGGTCACCTACCCAGTTGATCCCATGTCAGACGTGGTTCACTTGTGTCACTTGTACATTTCCAAGCAACTCTCATCTTCCCCACCAAACCCTAGCCCCTTTAAAACCCCCATCTCCTTTCCTCTAACCCCACTGCACTAGCTAGCCAGTACCATCTCATTGTGCCACTCCACACTCCACAGACAGCAACTCCATCATTTTCTCCCAAGAAATGGCAGCTTCAGCTCTCCACTCCACTGGCACTGCGGCCATGTCTCTCTCCCTCTTCCTGCTCGCGGCCATCGCCGCCTCATCATTCTCTCCGGCCAACGCACAGGCGTCGTCGTCATGCGCGAGCCACACCTTCTCGAGCAACCAGCTCTACGCGTCGTGCACCGCCCTGCCGCGCCTCGGCACCACGCTGCACTACAACTACACGGCCGAGGGCAACTCGGTCGCCGTGGCGTTCCGCGCGCCGCAGACGAGCAAGGCCGGCGGGTGGGTGGCGTGGGGGCTCAACCCCAACGGCACGGGCATGGTGGGCACGCAGGCCGTGGTGGCGTTCCGGCATTCCAACGGCAGCCTCGTCGCGTACCCGACGATGCTGGACAGCTACGCGCCGTCCATGGCGCCCGCGGACGGCGCCGAGCTGGCGTTCCCCGTGTCGGACGTGGCGGCCGAGTACGCCAAGAACGGCAAGGAGATGGTCGTGTACGCGACGGTCGCGCTGCCCGGGAAGGGGAGCAAGTTCACCCACGTCTGGCAGCAGGGGGGCTCCGTGGTGGACGACGTGCCGGCGGCGCACCCCACCACCGGGGATAACGTGCTCTCCACGGGCACCATCGATTTCAGCAAGTGAAAGTAACATATACGGAGTACGTTCCTAGGTATGCTTATTTCGTACTATACGCGTGTCGTCTGTTCCGTATGTATGTGCCCGCGAGCCATCTCGCTCCCTATATATGTCGATATATGAATATGAATGCTTGTAATCAGCGCTCGGCGCACAGTTATGAATACGTACTGTCTGTAATTTGTGGTCGCGGCATACCCCAGATTTAGAGAACGCAAATTATAGCGGGTGGAAAGAAGACGATGCGGATTCAGATGCCTGCGGGGCTGTGCCTGAGTTCGCCGAATCGGAATCCAAACCGTCTCACGCTAGAATTCCAAAATCCCGGTCCATATATATAACCCACCAGAACCTACCTCAGGCATGTTTGAGCGCCGATCGTCCGGAACCATATATAGCTCGTCTTTGCGCCTCAAAGCCTTTATAAATAAGGCACATCAATTCAACCATGGCGATCAAACGATCTGCCGACGATGTCCCGGCATCTCCTCCTCGGCCGCGGACGGCAAAGCGGATTCTCACCACCGAGTCGCCGCCGCCGCCTTACCTCCCTTCCGATGTCATCTTCGGCATCCTGTCATGGCTGCCGTCCAGGTCCGAAAATATTGCTTGGGACCATGGTCCACCCGAACCCATGCTCAGAACCGTTCATCTCATGACATCGCGTATGGAAATATGTGCATGGTGAGTAAACTATTGCATGGCAGGAACAGTTTAGTTTGATGGCGGGAACAATTTAGGGCATCTCCAACAGATTGTATGTTAGTTTGTTGGTAAAATATATCATGTCATCAACCAACACCTTAACATACAACAACTCCAATGGGTTGTATGTAGTTTGCCCAATAGGATGTGAGATAATAAATAAGGTGCTCTCTCATTCTACATTGGAGTTTGTGCAAAGGGTGTTGGTTCATGTACATACAACATTTCTCTCTTCCCTCATTTATTATATGACACATCATTAAAAATTCTATGTGGCAAAATCTACCAACAACTATCTTACAACCATTGAAGATGCCTTTAGAGGGTTAGAAGCCATGCATGTGCTAAATATGATCATATTTGATGCTATACCATAGCTAATAAAATAGTCATGTTGCATTGGGCAATGAAATGTTGTCTCCTATGCACACTGTTCACTATTGTTTATTGCCTCGTTATGCTCGTCGAGCTCTGTCTCCAACACATGCATGAAGTAGACTGACAAGGAATGCTATGCAATTGAAACTTAAAAATACGCTCAAGATAATTCGTGCATAGATAATTTTTCATAGATATTTCCGCAACACTCTTTTTCCTTCAATTTTGTATCCCATGAAACCTACAATCTTCTTGTGCATGATTGATGACCTGCTGTTCAGACATATAGCAAAGCCAATAGAGCTGTTTTACGGTGATTGGGTTAGTACTCGGAGTACTTAGCAGTACTTACATGTCTGATCACGTCTGATTTTTATTAGCCGTCAGATCTTGTGGGGAATTTTAATTGATTAAATTTAATATGTAATTGCGATAAGGGCATAATGGTCCAGGGGGAAATATCTTTTCTTGAACCGATCACCTGAGGACCAGATCCATGTCTACTCGATCCAGTTCAGAATCCTCCTCCGATCTATTCGTCGCCGCTCGCCGCTCCTGACCTTCTCCGTCCTCGACCTGCCCGGCGAGAGGAATAAATTCATCGTCCTCGTCCTCCACCCAACCAACCCCAACCCCCCACACCGTCACCGAAGAAGAAGAAGGCCGGATCTGCGCCGGCTGAATCGGCGGCGACCGCGGCGGGCGATCCCATCTCTTCGCGCGTACCATCCTTAAGGTATGAATTCGGCTTGGCGTTCTGCTCGTTCTCTTGGCCGTTGCGCCCCTCCACCGTGCATGTAGTACAACCTCAACCCCACAAGATCCGGGTATGGACTAGAACAACGAATGGAAAGCTTCATCGTGGCATAGTTTCTCTTGAGCTAATCGCATCATGTTTGTTTAAGTAAGATGTTGAGGGCATTGCTTACTTCCTTTGGTACCGCAGAAAAAAAGTGACTTACTTGACGTTTGAGATGAGATATACTAAAGGAAGATGAGATACTGGTTCCATAGTTCACTTAATTTAGTTTATTAAAGTCATCATCACTTTAGGTTTGCATAGTGCATGAAATATAGTTTAAAGGAAGATGAGATACTACTTGTTGGACATTGATGATTGGTTTCCCTCACATGTCAAACGAGCAAAGTCTTTTTCATGCACTTGTCTTTGCCTATGAGCTATTTTACACCTGCAACATTGATAAACAGAAAGATGTTGATGATTGGTTTCCCTCACATGTCATATGTAGGAAGACATGGCGTATGCAAGTGATGAGAGTATGTTCGAGTATGTAAATGTTATCAGCAAGATGTTTGATAGTGAGGCTGAAGGCTATGAATTCTACAACAAATATGCTTTTGAAAAAGGTTTTAGTGTGAGGAAAAGCTACGTTGAGTGGGATGGATCCAACAAGTACATAATTTTAAGGAAAATTGTGTGTAGTCATCAAGGGTTTCGCGAAGAGAAGCACATGAAAAGAAAGATGGAAGATAGAAAGAGGAGGCCACAAAGTTTAACTCGTGTTGGGTGTAATGCTAAATTGGTCATTACGAGACAGGAGGAAACCGGTCGGTGGTTTGTCAAGGATTTCATCGATGAGCACATCCATCCTCTAGCCCCACGGGATCTTTCTTGTCTACTGCGTTTGCACAGACAAATTAGCGATGAGCAGAAAGCGGACATTGCGGACATGGAAAAATGTGGGATCCGCAAATACCGTATTATGGATATTTTGTGCTTTCAATACGGTGGATTTGATAAGGTTGGATGCATAAAGAGGGACGTTTATAATTTCTGCCATGCTAATAAGCAGGAGACAATCAGTGCCGGTGATGCTAATACGGTGATCATGCACATGATGGCGAGGCCAGAGCGAGATGTGGATTTTTTTCTTCAAGTACTTGGTAGACGAGCATGGCCATCTGAAGGGACTGTTCTGGGCTGATAGTCAGTCGCGACTTGACTACGAGGCTTTCCGAGACGTCATTGTTTTCGATAGCACATACAGAACCAACAAATACAATCTGCCATTCGTGCCGTTTGTCGGGTTGAATCACCATCGCAGCACTGTTATTTTTGGCTGTGGTATAATTTCTCATGAAACAAGCCAGGCATACGAGTGGATGTTGCGGACCTTTTCTGATTGCATGGCACAGAAACATCCGATATCTGTGATCACAGATGGGGACCTTGCAATGCAGAGAGCAATAAGGGTGGTCTGGCCAGACTCAAACCATAGACTATGTATATGGCACATTCAGCAGAACATTGTACGCCATCTGCATGATGACGACGTAAAGGAGGAATTTAGATCTTTCATTTATGATACTTCTTCCATTGAAGAGCATGAGATAAAATGGATACAATTCTTACAACGGAATAAAGAAACCAGTGAGGAGTCTTAGCTGCATCAGATGTATCAGATGAGAAAGTTGTGGTGTGCTCCATATCTTGAGGGGCGTTGTTTCCTAGGACTGAGCAGCAATCAGAGGAGTGAGAGCTTGAACTCTGTGCTACATACGCATCTTGAGGGTAAGATGTCGTTGTTTGAAATGCTAGAGTACTATGAGCGTTGCCTTGCGTCGCGACGGATTAACGAAGCTCTCCATGACGTCGAAGCCTTGCAGTCCGTTCCATTTACAGAGGAAAATGCTTCGCCGCTTGAGAAACATGCCGCAATAGTTTTCACACCTAGTGTCTTTAAGATGGTCTTATGGAGCATAGATGCTGTCAGCAAATGTCAGATCAGAGAGATACTAGATGGATCAGAAGATTCCACTTATGTTGTGTCCAAGCAGGAAAGAATGGATAAAAAGTTTGGAGTGCGCATTGAAGAGCAAGGAGGTCTTTTGCACAGGGTGAGTTGTTCTTGCCGTAAGCTGGAATGCGCAGGCACACCATGTTCCCACATTTTTTACATATGGGGGATTTTAAAACAAACAATTCTGCCAGGTTGTTGTGTTCCCACTAGGTGGACTATGAATGCAAAATGTGCATACGCACCTACCAGAAAAAACCAGATGTATGACTATTCGGTAAGCCTGCAGAGGTACCGCGAGTTGCGGAATTGTAGTCACGCCACAAGTTTCAAGACATGCCACTCTGATGAGGACTATCACCGTCTAAAGATGCTTTTGCAAGCACAACATCATGGCAAGCAATCAAGTTTTGAACAAGCTGACAGCAAGGAGTCAACTAATGCTTAGCATAACAGCATTAGGTTTGGCCCGTTGATGCCGCACTCGGAGAAAGTTGATAAGGTTCTGGATCCCGTGCATGTGCCAGGACGAGGTGCACCGAAGAAAAGGCTGCAGGCAAAGACAAAGAAGTCAAGATCATAGAATATCTGTGGCTATAGCAAGAAACCAGGTCACAATCGACGTAAATGCGCTAAATTGCTAGAGGTACGAAATATGTTCATATTTATTTTTTGCATGTGTTTTACACATAATTGATGTCCATGTGATTTATTGTATTCTTCTGTGTAGGATCTCGAGGCTAAACTGTGATATCTACATACAACATGAATCGACGATGAGCCAGAGAACGTCATGTGCCATTCAGCTTTGTGTGACATGGTCTTTACATTCTATTTCATCGTGACAGTAATTTAGTGAAGTGCGGTTGTACTGCCATGTTACAGTATTAGTTCGACATCTTTCATTTCCATTTTCTGTGTGTATCATTTGATGTCCAACTTTAAGAATGATGATGTATTTCGAACAGGAATAAGGGCTAGCATGGAGCACTTGTTATTGTCGAGTAGAATAATTATTGTGATGTATTTCTGCACACACACATGGCCGCCAGATGGATCTCCCGCGCGATCCCATGGTCTGCATGGCTGGCTCGGTGCGTGTCCATCGTTTAGGCGAGACTACCGACGCCATGCATGCATGGCAGGCCGTTTTCCTACGTCGAC